ACCTCCTCCACCTCCGCACACACTGTTACACCCTCCACACACCCTGTTACACCCTCCACACACACACTGTTACACCGTCTTCCACCTCCACACACACTGTTACACCCCCACACACACCCTCCCCCCTCACACACACAACACCCCCACACATACCTCAACACCCCCACACACACCTCAACACAAACACACAACACTCCCCACATTAATACCACAACACACTGCTAACCTCCACGCTGAACACCTTGCTAAACATGCGTGCCTGAAACAATCTAAAAATTTGCAGTATATAAAATTAGTCAATACACAGATAAAGTAACGAGAGGTGGCGAGCCTGGGCGAGTGAGGTGTATCCAGGAGCAGAGTCGTGTTGTATCACAGGTGGTGACGTCTGCCTCCTCCCCTGTATTATGTACCAACTGACCAAACATTCACAACCTTTCATTATGGACAATAAAAGTATCACATTCTACTCCTGTAATAGATATAAAGATATTCTTACTACTTCGCTCCTTGTATATAAAGGGGGGGGGGGGTGGAGTTGGTCAAGCTAGTGAAGGCTGTGGTATTGTGGTAACGTTGTCTGGTGGTGGTGGTGGTAAGCGCAGTTGCCACGGCAACACTGTGTTACGCCAGTGCACACACCACAGAAACAACAACGCCTCCCGCCACTGTTCCACCTCACACGTATTCTTTAGTAAAACAATGACAACAATAATACTGTACATAACACAAATTCAAATCATCATTAACTTGAACACACGTCCTAAACATCGGTGTGTACCCATCACTGTGTCGCTCTGTCTCACTGGTACAATTGTTAAGTGTACTGTACACCACGGTCCTATTTGACGTGAGAACACACATACAGTACATGTTGAGGAATAGTTAGGCGCTGCAAATGATGTGGTTATCATTTCCTCAAGGGACTGTGTTAAAAAATATCTAAGGATTTTGTCAACAACACGCACAGAGAATGGAGGCGCTGGTCGGGTGTTCCTCCACAACTATACCAAGTTCCTCTCACTACTGTACATCACATCTAGATACTCCAGGGAAAATTTTTGCATGAATATAATAATGTTTCCAAAATATTCTAACAAATTAACTGAACATATTAAGCTGCTGGAGAATGATTAAAATTTTATCTCTATCAGTCAATGGCGGATACGTTACACAGTCACCCATCAAAATTAACACAAATATAAAAGTTCAAGAAATAAGCTCACCTGAGAAAAACTACTTATGATACAGGTGTAAAAAAGTAGAGTGTAATAATGAGAGAGAGAGAGAGAGAGAGAGAGAGAGAGAGAGAGAGAGAGAGAGAGAGAGAGAGCCACACACTAACTGAGTCACAAATATACTCAACCTTCCCAACACAATCATCATATATTAAAGACTTTCATCTCTACCAAAGGCGAGGTAATAACTCTTTCTTTACCTCTCACAGCCAGGCAGGGGTGGGGGGGAGGAAAGATGTCGGTAGGTAGCTGATAAAACTCCTCTTATTGCCTTATCCATAAACCAACTTCCTAAATATCATACATGGATCAATATCTAGCCACGTGTGTACCGGGGATTACACCACCGCCGCCGCTACCACCACACAGTAATTTAATCCATATGAATATTATTATGATTTTTAGTGAAGAGGAACTTGTAGGTTAGGTTAGGTTAGGTTAGGTTAGGTTAGGTTAGGTTAGGTTAGGTGTCGTCAAGAATGGTCGGCCTCGTTACCTGTGTCAAGGTGTGTGTTAAGTTTCTTTCCAACAAACACCTTCGTCACTTCTAATTTGCATAAAACTAATTAAGGTGGACAGCCATATCGCTGCCCCTCAGAGTAACGATCGTACAAATACACTACACATAAAGCTATATTCCCATCTATCAGTTAAACATAAAGCTATACTCTTAGCTTTACACCCACCAACAGCAATCTTTCACGAGGCAGAAAGTCGAGTGTTGTGGAGTGAAAGTCAGGAAGAGAAATCAAGAAAATTAAATAAAACTTGGGGGGAGGAGAGGGGAAAGCTTGCTAGGGAGTGAACAAACCTACACATTTATCTATCTCTCTATCTATCTCTCTCTCTATCTATCTATCAATCTCTCTATCTATCTATCTATTGACGTTCTATCTCGACTTTCACTGTGTGTGTGTGTGTGTGTGGGTCAGTGTTGGGTGGCACAACACTCCCCTACACGTGGTGACTCTCCGTAACACCAACAACATCTCCTGAATATAAACTAATGTGGCTCTAGTCTCAGTGATGGAACGATTGTGAAGCAGGAGTCAGTAAAGTGGGACACAGGTTGGTGAATGTATCTTATCTAGGTCTGCGGACACACACACACACGCACACACACACACACGCACACACACACACACACACACACGGCAGGAAAGAACAGGCAGGTGAGGTAAACTAAAGCACCGAGATGAGTGAGTGAGTGAGTGAGTGACGAAGCGAGGGAGTGAGTAACGAAGCGAGGGAGTGAGTAACGAAGCGAGGGAGTGAGTAACGAAGCGAGGGAGTGAGTGACGAAGCGAGTGAGTGAGTAACAAGGCGAGTGAGAAGTGAGCCGAGTGATGGAACATGAACAAGGGTGTGGCTGACTAAGTGAATGAGTTTGAAGTATGTTAGTGAATAAGCTGAGTATGGGGAGGAGGGGACGTGGGAGGCACGACAAACTAGGTCAGCAGAAAACCGGCTTCAGCAAGCAACTCTTTTGTTTTTCTCTCTGTTATCTACATTGAATATTTCCTCCTTCCATCCCCGCACACACCTGAATCTTACAACACAGAATGCATTTAAAGAGATACATAATATATTTTTACACACACACACACACCCCTACACACACACACACACACACACACACACACACACACACACACGTCCAGCCACTTTGGTAGAGGGAGGCCAACACTCCTGCTGGGGATCGAACCCGTGACCTTCTCTTGTGAGGTGAATACTCTACTAACTGCGATAATACATGTATCTTCATATGTATAAGGCGAGTATATACATAAGTAAATAATAAACAGATACACTACAACAAAATTCAGCCCATAAGAGCCCGCACTGATAGATATAAGAACAGCACCATCCCATCTATTGTTAAAATAATAAACAACTCCTGATTTATGTACTGTACAGCCCTGTAAATGTATTGAACGCATATCATTATGTCTAAATCACATGTAAGTTTGTATATTTTCAGCCACCGGCTGCAACTCAATTAATAAACCGTTTATTATTATTATTATTATTATTATTATTATATACTACACATGTGTATGCTTATGTGTAAAATTACTCTTGTGCGAATAAGTGTAGATGTGTTCACGTATACGTCCACGTAATTTGTCCGTATGTATTGTTAATATTTCAATGCACAGTGTACATATGTACCAAGAGGAGCGTGTATGAAGAATACGGAGCAGCAGGTGGCGGCGCCGGACACTAAACGCTACAAAACACCTCACCAGCGACCCGTGACTGTGTTGTCAGCATTAACGAGCCAATTACTCTGGGTCTTTACCAACTGTGTGTAGCGAGGAGGGCCAACAAGGGTATAGATGCCGGGGCAGGGATGGGTCACACGTGGTTCACTTACCAGGAGAGCGTCGCCCTTCTCACCCCAGCGGTCTGGCTCCCTGGCCCTCCATCCATCACTCGTGACAAGCCAGTAATGAGGATTCAATCATGATCAAATTGTAGATCGTGGAGAGATTGATTCGTTTTTTTCACTTAAATTGGTTTCCAATATGATTTTTTGGGGACGTGAAATTATGTATTTATAATAAACTTTTCACCTGAATAAACTCCAGCAACATTTTTCACTCCGCTGTGATAACGAGGAACTGAACATGATACACACACTGGTAACAGCTTACTGTCGGGTCAACACACATGAGAACGAGATGACCTTAAAGAAAACAACTACAGAATTACAATATGTTACAAGAGACACCAAGAGGTCATAGTTGATAATGTAAGGCATATTAAGGTGATCAATTCAGGTGTTACAACATAATGTCGTCATAACTTGTTGCAGGTGACAACATGAAGAGCCTAACAGTGGCTCACCAGACTGTGTTACACCATCACAACAACAACAACAACACATTTACCTAACCTCCCCAACATATACAGAAGTTATAGTCAGTTCCTATGACAACCTTATTAGAAAAACGAAACATTTCAAATATGGAACGAAAAGCACTTGCAAAATTCCATTAGTCATGTGTGGTAAGTATTATTCTTTATGGTTCAGGATGCAATTTGAATAAATTTCGAGAATTCCACCATCAGTGTCTCGTAATTCAAAAAATAATTTGGTTTGAATTCATACCACTGTAAGGAACACGTACAACACACTCAGGATACATTAACAAAACTAAACTTACGAAAAAACACATAAAGGGAAGGAACATGAACAGTCTACGAGATAAACAAATAACATAGGGGAGAAGGGAATAACAAATTGAACAAAGATGAACACTGAACATTACGAGAAAGAAAAACAATCCGAATTATTTACAAAAAAAAAAAGCTTTGGGAGGGAAAAAATTTACGTTTGATGAAGGAGAAGAGGAAAGGGGATGGAGGGGGTTTATTTATTCTTGTCAAGCATAAGACTAAGGTTATACACTAAGGACCATGAGACTGTTACTACCACACGACTCCACCCACCCCTGAGATCCTCCACGCTCGCACTCTCACTATAAACGGGTTGTGTAGTTTACCCCCTTAGTTGTTTATACCTATTTTAATCTAAACCTGAGTCCTGTTAAGCTGACCAATAGGAGTAGAGAGAAACTTGAAATCGAGAATTTTTGTTATTTATCGGATGCAAGATTTGTGTTTTGGGTGTGGCCAGTGAAAAGGGGGTGTCTCTCTCTAGCACAAAAGTATAAAGGCTAAAGGGGCACTGGGTTGAGGGGAGGGAGTGGGGAGAGTGGGGGGGGGGGGCGAGAGGGCATGCGCTTAAAATCTTACTTGGCAGTCCGTAATCTTGGGCACGTCTTACGGGTTCCGCTCGCCGATCTGTTTGGCTGATTGGAGGGTAGTTGGGCCCTGTGAAGAGGAATGCATGTACCAATCACTCTGGAAATTGTTCGGCTATTATATGGAGCAAAATTTCCCTGCCTAAATTAAACATATTCTAATCACAGCTGAACAATGGAGATAACTTGTCCGACTGTAAGAAATAATGATCATCAGTGAATTAGGTTAAGATTCCGTCTTCAAGATGACCATATCATCTTGAACCCATAAAGCCAGTGTTTGTTTACTGCACTCGTGAGGTTGTTAGGCAGGCGAGTGTATCACCTAACCCGCCAGTATACCAACACAGTCGCTCATACTAACTATACCTTATACTCACTAACTACCTTATACTCACACTAACTACCTTATACTCACACTAACTACCTTATACTCTCACTAACTACCTTATACTCACACTAACTACCTTATACTCTCACTAACTACCTTATACTCTCACTAACTACCTTATACTCTCACTAACTACCTTATACTCACACTAACTACCTTATACTCTCACTAACTACTTTATACTCACACTAACTACCTTATACTCACACTAACTACCTTATACTCACACTAAGTACCTTATACTCTCACTAACTACCTTATACTCTCACTAACTACCTTATACTCTCACTAACTACCTTATACTCACACTAACTACCTTATACTCACACTAACTACCTTATACTCTCACTAACTACCTTATACTCACACTAACTACCTTATACTCACACTAACTACCTTATACTCACACTAACTACCTTATACTCACACTAACTACCTTATACTCTCACTAACTACTTTATACTCACACTAACTACCTTATACTCACACTAACTACCTTATACTCACACTAACTACCTTATACTCTCACACTAACTACCTTATACTCTCACTAACTACCTTATACTCACACTAACTACCTTATACTCACACTAACTACCTTATACTCACACTAACTACCTTATACTCACACTAACTACCTTATACTCTCACTAACTACCTTATACTCACACTAACTACCTTACACTAACTACCTTATACTCACACTAACTACCTTATACTCTCACTAACTACCTTATACTCACACTAACTACCTTATACTCACACTAACTACCTTATACTCTCACCAACTGATCCAACTCATTCCTCACACTACTCCTATCACCATACACTTCACACACTCTTCCTTATACCGGCGGGCTGAATACTTATACCCAGCACCATACTTCACCCCTTCCGCCTGACACCAGACGTAACATGTTAATATCACCTGACACACAGAGTAATGTTGTATATCATCCGTGTGATCAGAGACCTCTCCCTTCACTCCTGCCGAGGCAATAAGAACTGCTGGTGGCTGGTAGTACAGGTCTGCGATACGTAATTGTCATGTTATCACTGCGCTTCAACAACTAAGGTATTTAAGCGAGTAAGTAGATGATTAATTACACTCGCCCATAACAATAAGATAGAACTCTCAATGTGTATAGACTCATCCAACAGTAATATCTAATCTGCTTTCCTGTCGAGTCGGTAAACTACTTAATATATCACAAACTTTTTCGTAGAATTAAAAAAAAAAGTACTTCTGAAGATTTTGTAGTTAATATTTGATAAGTTGTAGATCTCGCTAGGGACTCCAGGTGTAGAGCGGCAACACAGACTTCCGTTGACACCTGACAATACCTGGAATCTACTGCTGGGTCATAAAGGTCAAGGTGATTGAGATTCTAACATTTCTTATACTCAAGATTTTTCTTTGTGTTGCAGTATTTTTCTTAATGTTATTCAGACAATTCACAATGAAAAACAGCGTTCATTATGTATAAACCGACACCACATATAATGACTCACAGGTATAGATGCCAGGTGTTGCCAGGTGTTTGGGCTGCACGTGTACGAGAGACTCACACACGATCTGCCAATCATTGTCCTTCATGTGTGGCGTCACCTTGTTGTCGTGTACAGCTGTGTGTGTGTGTGTGTGTCATGGCATGTCTTTCTCAGTTCAGACATTTATTACATAACTTCCAGACATGTTTCGAACTAGTCAGCCATCTTGCATAACTTCAACGAAAACAACGAAACCCATTGTTAAGATTGTCACCCCTCTAGTTCTGAACAGCTGAGGTAGTTAACGATCGATAATCACGAACGAATTTCAACACTGCTCCCTATAATTTTTCCATTACTTCACTCTATAATTTGACGTTTCCCGAAACTACAATTTCTTTTTAGCTTTTTTTCATAGTTCATATACAGTACATGTCAGTTTTTTTTCCATTAACTGTTGAGTCTCAGTGTGTCCAGCCTACGTCGGCCAACTTGAGTCTTTGGTCTGCAGTACTTGTGAGTCCAACCTTCCCATGTTTTGTCTACAATCACGGACACGGGAGTATAATCACGGACACAGTATAACCACGGACACAGGAGCATAACCACGGACACAGGAGCATAACCACGGACACAGGAGTATAACCACGGACACAGGAGCATAACCACGGACACAGGAGTATAACCACGGACACAGGAGTATAACCACGGACACAGGAGTATAACCATAACCACGGACACAGGATATAACCACGGACACAGGAGCATAACCACGGACACAGGAGCATAACCACGGACACAGGAGCATAACCACGGACACAGGAGTATAACCACGGACACAGGAGCATAACCACGGACACAGGAGTATAACCACGGACACAGGAGTATAACCACGGACACAGGAGTATAACCACGGACGCCGGCGTATAACCACGGACACAGGAGTCATTAATAACAAAAATCAAAGAACCTTATTGAAGCAGCAGATGGAAGAACGTTATATAACACAAAGAGTTATAACCCGGAAGGATATTGGAGAACATAAAGACGTGACAGACGAACAGAGACTAAGACACCTTCACTAATTAACCAGCTACTACGTTATGGTCTAGTGGCAAGAACGAGCAGACAACCATATTAATGAAATGGTGATTCCTGAAGTAGTTGAACACCCGAAGTACCCCCATCAGACTGCGAGGGGCGTCAGCTGCTGTAACACACACGAGAGGAAACACAACTTCAACACGTAGAGGAGGAACAAGTATCCGTGGTGAGCGGAGAAGCAGTCTGAAGGAGGGGCACCACCTGAGCCTCACCTGGTGTGTGTTGGGACAGGTAGGTGGTGCTCCCGTCCTCATCTTGTTAACATTAAATAATAATAAACATCTTGACAGCTTAAATGTTGTTCATTATTGTAATTATTTTATGGACGCTGGTGCAGCTGTGAGCGGTGTGTGTGCAAGACAGCGTTATCATCACTGTAGGGCGCTCACACACACAGTCCCAAGACCACACGCACACAAGCGACAAATCACCAGGTACACGTGGCTGAAAATATAATTAATTACGCTAATCCACCAAAGCTAATGATGACGAGGATAAAACGTTAATTAATCCAACCACATATATCCCTATTAGTTAGGTTAAGAAGTCTCTCTCTCTCTCTCTCTCTCTCTCTCTCTCTCTCTCTCTCTCTCTCCCCGAGTAACTCACACACACATGTAGTCAGTTATTCATCTGGTAACTCAACACAGCCTATTCACCCATGTTACTCAATCACTCACTCACAGCCAAAATCACTCAGTAAGTAACCCTCATTGACTCACGGACCAGTGACTCGCAATCACTCACTGACTCAGAGAAGCAGGAGTTGCCCTATTTCCAATTTAAATAGTAGAATTAATTACCGCCAGTGTTGCCAAGTTTACTATTAAATAATTTTTTATGATCTGTGTAAGAGTTTCCTTCTCGATCCAAATTATAGCAATTATCTGTCACGGTTGACATCAGTGAATTAAATACATTAATTTACAAGCCGCAATTTTTTTTATAATTCAACAACTGGTTTGTAATTACCAGGGAGTTGCCAATGTGTGCTTTAATCTGTGTATTAAAAGTGGGGTTAGTTAGTTTTGTGTGTGTGTGTGTGTGTGTGTGTGTGTGTGTGTGTGTGTGTGTGTGTGTGTGTGTGTGTGTGTGTGTGTGGATCTGGTGCTCTTAATTCATATGAGGCCGATGGTTTAACCCCTTGAGGATTATAGATTAAACCATATACTTCAAAGGGTTGTAACTTAAACCATCCTCCTAACACACGTTCACTCAACCACGTTACAAGGTGTGGGGTGGGCAAGTGGGTGGATGGGTGGGTGAGCGATCGAGTGGGCGAGCAGGTGAGAGGGAGGGTGGGATATTGGGTGAATGAGTTAGTTGGGTGAGTGATTGGGTGGCATGGTGTGTTGGGTGGGTGGCATGGTATGGTGGGGGTGGGTTGGGTGGCATGGTGGGTGGGCCGGGTGGGTGGGTGTGGGAGCCAGGAAATTAATACACTGATCACCACTGAGAATCGGCGCTCTGACCTCACAAACAATTACCACACACACACACACCTGGAGGAGACGCTGAGGTGTGAGAAATGTGACGGAGGAAGTGACTGTTGCTGGGGTATACTGCTGGAGGAGGGGGGGGGGGGATTATGGGCAGGTGGGGGCTATACAGACGTGTAGAGAGAGAGAGAGAGAGAGAGAGAGAGAGAGAGAGAGAGAGAGAGAGAGAGAGAGATTCAGCAAAATGGAATAATTGCATCAGAATCATCATGAGTCCCGTACTGTTATTGTTGTGATATCAGGCATTAATTTGAGAATGGTTGTTGTTTGTTATGATTCTTTTTAAACTAGACGAACGTGAGCTTGTTGCCAGGAAGAGTGACTGAGGGAGCACCAGCCTTATTACTTTTTATAACGTCTATAACCTTTTCGACATGGAGGCTAGACGATAGAGAGGAGTGACGAGCTGTTTTGTGTCGGTGTTGACGATAGTAGCTCTGATGTACAGCATTAAGACGTGTTCCAGCCACGAATATTGTAGTGGTTGTAAAGACTCTCTCTCTCTCTCTCTCTCTCTCTCTCTCTCTCTCTCTCTCTCTCTCTCTCCCACAACTACCTGATGTCTTGGTTTTATTTTCTGTTATA